GGTGTAAATGTCGAATTAGTAATAAAACCTTGGGGAAGTCTAACATTAATGCGTGTAGAAGTATTTTTTGTGCTTTCAACATCTTTAAAGTTAACTACGTATTCATATCTAAACATGCATTGCTGATAAATATAAATGTCATCAAACTGCACTCAACAAATAGCATTGAAAAAACCAGAATACTAGTTCAGAGCTAACATGCTTGCATTACAGTATTTGAAACTTTATTAATATAATTTTAGTATACACAATTGGAATTATCTACAAGAATGTCCTACATAATGGGTGTTTAGATAATCCTATTGTGGTTTGAACCACAGAATGTACCCATCTGTAATAGCTGTTGGAACTAGACTATATGTCCTATAAAGATATAACTAAATGTTAGAACTTCGGGATATACCCATTTGCTTACAGTTGTCAGATCCTTAGAGTGTAGCAACGAATCTTTGACACTATAAATCATAGCAAAACATGCATTGCAAAAAAATGAAAGATGTTTCGAAAGTTTCTTTAATCGAACACGTTATTGTATGTATGTGGTAACAAATGGTGATAAGGGCAATTCATTATCAGATTTTCACAACAATATTGAAGGCAGAAAGTACATGTGGTGTTGAGTGGTATAGTTTTAGTTTTGAAAGGACCGGTGATATACATTGTACCTGATGGTACTTTAGTACAACAAAACTTAGTAAAGTACATTTTTTAATACATGACCCAGGAAATCAATATTATGATATTGTTGTAAAATTGTTTTTATGCATTTTTTATATCTTACAATTTTAAATTAATACACGTTTGAAAGATTTTGTTATGTTTTTATCCGGAAATGAATACACATAACGTTGTTAAGGGTATTGGATTTATAAAGAACTGACATTGCTATACCAGTTATCCAAGTAGTCATCGGAAACCAAAGAAACTGTGACATTTAGACTGATTTCCGTTTTTCGCTGTATCTTGATAGAGTGAATATTACAAATATTTCTATAAAACGGTAAAAGATGTGCTTAAAGTACAGACAGGATTATTTTATTAATCTCTTTTATGTTATGTAAAAGAATAAGGGTAATTATAGGTTTAATAAACTAAATAATAAAATGCAACAAAACAACACAGATACAATTTCGTGTAGTTGAAATATGCAGCTTCAATCCACAATAAAAGTTCATAAAATGTGTAAGTTTATGGTTCTATGAATTAAATCAAAATTTAATATTTTTATCAAAACAAATTTTCAAACATTGGACTATTATCAATTACAAACACATAAGCAACACGCAAACAAATTAAAGATAATAACGATGTGGTCATACATAATATAGGCTTGGTTTGAATTATTTTCTATTATTAATTTATTTGTCTTTATCCTTTACACTGCTGTTAACAGTTTATCCTTTACACTGCTGTTAACAGTTTATCCTTTACACTGTTGTTAACAGTTTATCCTTTACGGTGCTGTTAACAGTTTATCCTTTACACTGTTGTTAACAGTTTATCCTTTACACTGCTGTTAACAGTTTATCCTTTACACTGTTGTTAACAGTTTATCCTTTACACTGCTGTTAACAGTTTATCCTTTTTACACTGCTGTTAACAGTTTATCCTTTACACTGCTGTTAACAGTTTATCCTTTTTACACTGCTGTTAACAGTTTATCCTTTACACTGTTGTTAACAGATTATCCTTTACACTGCTGTTAACAGTTTATCCTTTACACTGCTGTTAACAGATACTTGAAGACAGTCTAGTATTATTATCTCGAGCTGCTTAAATGTGTAGATTGAAAGCTTGCTTGTTTGGTTGCAGAAAGGACATTCATGCTAACCTGGTTCAAAACGCCTTGCTAACCTGGGTCAAAACGCCGATGTGAGCAAGATACAACAACTAACGAAACTGCCAAAACTGAAATCAAGCGTCTGTATGTTTCATCTGGTGTCACATCACAATTGACTAAAACTGTATAAGTAATTAAAACGTTTTCTAAAATTCAGCAAACTGCATGACAGGAAAAGTAAATTCTTAAATTAGATAAATAAACATCTTATAATCAGATAAAAGGACAAAATAAAAGATAACAGACTGTAGTATTTCTATAGAGGTGTTTAACGACCACCAAGGCTTGAGGGTCTTGCACGGTCGGGTACATCAGAATATTATATTTGTCATATTAAATTCAATTGCAAAAGGTCACGCGGCAAATTCTTTTTCCAATAACACTTATGCATGTAAAAACCAACCATAATGGACAGAATGGGGAAAATATGGTCAATATGAGAGATATAGAGAAAGGACAATGCCATGAATTCAACAATTTGAATTTATTTTTCATTACAACAAGGGAGCATTCAGGAACGTCTTTCGCACATCCTTTTCCTTAAGAAAAATGGATAGAGTAGGTCATTCCTGAACCAGTTTGATCTATTGGATTCCAAGCGATCAATTAAAATATGTAAAAAAAGGTTCACCAAGCACAACATGAGCAATGTGCCTATAAAAGGTCTTGTTTTTGTTGAAGACATTTTTACAAGACAATTAAGACAGGCTGTGCTATAAACTAATTGTCTTCGCCATAAATAAATGTAAATTGATTATTCAAATGTGAACTTTTTAAATAGTTTCCTTCATTTACAGAACGCTATGACGTCATCATGTGACATTAATCAAGACGGAAACGACTGGATAATATCCAATTAGTGTTGAAAGTGTGAAGATATGACTGACACATTTATATTAATTAATCAGCAGTCCTGTAAACAAATAAATCGTTCTTTTTTTTTGTACCACATGCAAAGCCAAAAACAAAAAGCTATTGACGTTTTAAGATTATTGATATGTGAAAGCTTTGTCAATGTGATTTCTAGTTAAACATTTACTTCTAAAACATTCGATCATTAAATTTATCATATCAAGGGTCACTAGGGTATAGAAAATGATTTGTTATCTTGACACTCGACCGGTAGTAAAACTCATTCCAGGGGCTTGTATATTTGGATATGTGGGATTTAAACATTTCCAGCCAAGTCAGGCCGTCTTGGGAACTTTTCAAAGAGACTGTTTTTCAAGAAGCCCGACATTGTGGGTGCGTTATCCTCTCTTCATGACAAATATGTAGTTGCTCCAGCTGACAAAGCTTCATGCAAACTATATTGATCTTATACAGGGGAAAATCATTATTTGGTTTGACTAACAAAACTAAGAACTAGAACATCTGGAAATATATACACAAACATTCTTCACATACAAAGAGATATTAGAAAATCACAAATCCATCCCCCTCTTTGTTATTAGCATAAAAAGGAAGATGAATTTTTCTTTCTTTATATTGGATACCCTAACTTTTAAAAATTCTAAAGATCTACTCTATAATCTTCAGTCACAATCATTACAGTTTCGCAAAAATATAAAACTTTTGATTTTTCTATGATCTACACTACTATTCCACCGGCAATCGTAATTTGAGCGAAATGGCAGGACATTTGAGCGAAAAAAAGGACGTTTGAGCGAGAAAAAAAGGACGTTTGAGCGCCAAAGTATAGGACATTGAGCGCCAAAGTATAGGACATTTGAGCGCCGATATTTTAGGACATTTGAGCGAAAAAAAAATAAGAACTATGAAGGAGTACCTCTTCCGTTCGTTTGTTCATTATTAACCTGTACAAAATTTTCAAATCTATTTGTCTCAATATTCATCTTTGTTAACGATTTGCGCGTTTCCTCACTAGATTTTTGAAGTGCAGGGTGAGATTTGCATCCATTTCTATGTATAGCCTTTGGAACGCTGCTGATGTCTTCAGATTTTAAGTTTGCCTCATCCGTGTTCTGTAACCCGGTACGGATAATTTTCGAAGGACGTTGAGCTATATCATCATCGGCTTTACGTTTTCCTTTTAGGGTTTTGTCCACTCTATATCGGAAACTGTCACACACAAGGCTGTTTTTTCCTTATTACAATGTATTAGTCTTATTCAAAATTATTTCCATTTTAACATGTACATGTATTAGTATTAGATCTCAGGTGCCAAGGGACATTTCACTTTATAAATATAAGAAATTTAGAACAAAGAAAATTTGCATAGCCAATGAATTATAGCAGAATTGATTGGTAAGTAAAGGTCAACTAAGTACACTACTATTAACTAGCCAGAACCAATCGAATTACTCGGGTGTAAAATAAAAAAATATGTTTTTTTTTAAAACTTACTGTTTTTTTTAATTTTTATTCATATAAAAGTATCACAGGAGATTTCGCTCAAACGTCCTATTTGAAAATTCCGGTAAGGTTAAAATTCCGGCGCTAAAATGTCGTATGATGTCGGCACTCAAATGACCCTATGTGCATTTTTCATTTTCGCTCAAATGTCCTGTGCCCTATTCCACATGCTCATTTGAAAAATTGACTGCAAGTTTATATAGAACGTTGTTTTGCTACAAAATTGAGAATCGTAAATATAAATTTTTTCTTTGAGGTCATGAAAAATCTTATTTTTTGAAGAACCATACTGATTCCAACACCAAAAACATCAACTATTAGTCGCCGACTATTTTTGATCCCTCGCTATTACGAAATAGCGTATTTTCTCATCTGAAGATCAATGGACAAACCCTCGATATTTCCCCATTCTTGTTACTGGTAAACTGTATTACTGGAAATTTTCGTCGATATTGCACCATTCTTGTTACTGGTAAACTGTATTACAGAAAAGTTTCGTCGATATTGCCCCATTCTTGTTACTGGTAAACTGTAATATTACTAGAAATTTTCGTGGATATTGCCCCATTTTTGTTATTGGTAAGCTGTATTACTGGAAATTTATGCAGAATTGAAAGACTTTTTTTTAATTTAAAAATAGCTCTAATAGACATACTTACATCGACCACTCTCTTTAGTTTTGCCTGTTATATTTAGTAAAATAAATGCTAAGAAATATGCAAAACATGTATCGACTTTGATATTCTTGCTGTCACGGTTATTTTTAACCATCTTCTCTGATAACCTTACACACCATTACATAACAGAAGGGTTTTTCTTGGCTCAATAAACCGACAGGTAAGATTTTAATATCCTACCAGAATGTATAAATAGTGTCAGTTTGTCTTAAGTAATAGTCATCTTTGCAGATAAACAAATTTATACGTGTATCGTGAACCTTTTTAATCCTTATATGAACCAATGACATTTTTATCCTATTTATAATTGGGCACATATGTTGAAATTTTATCCTATTCATATAATTGGGCATACATGTATATGTTGGGGAAAAAACGAAACCGAAAGCTGACATTATATCACGCAGGCTTAAAGTTAATCCTTGCAAGCAAGTAAAATGAATAAGAAATAAAGTACTATACACAAAAATGCAGTAAAACTCAATCACATGATATAGTGAAGTTTGTGACTTGAACCTTAAGGCCCGTTGTCACGATCCATCATAAAAATAAAAAGATGTGGTATGATTGCCAATGGGACAACCCTCCACCAGAAACCAAATGACGTAGGTCACCATACGTCCTTCAGCAATGAACAAACCCCATATCGCATAGTAAGCTATAAAAGGCACCGAAAACAAAAATGTAAAACAGTTCAAACGGGAAAACTAACGGCCTGTTTTATGCATAAAACAATAAACGAAATACAAATATGATATACAGCAACACACAAGAACCACTGAATTACAGGCTTCTGACTTGGGACAGGCACATACAAAATGTGACGGGGTTGTTTTCATGACAAAAAACTTCGTCGAAGTTTTTGAGGGATTTTTGATAGTGACAACCGTCAACAAAAACATGGATTAAAAACTTTGACGGACTTTGATGGAATAGAATCCCATCCTAGTTTTCTTGAAACTTGGATGGATTTTAACGGGAGTTAGCAAAACATAGTGCAGTTGGGGAATGGTGTAATTTTTGTTTACAAAACATTCAAAAGCACGTGGTAAAAATGGAAGGAAAGCAGAGTTTCAGTACTTTGATGTGGACAAATAAAATGATCATAGAAGAATTTACTGAATTGGCGGAGGGTAAAGAATTAAAAAAAAAATAAAAAACAGCGTCTCGAAGTGTAGGATCTTGTCTTTCGATCAGTGGTTCAATTTTTCCAAGAGGCAGATTACATCTTGCTGGTCAATTCTAAAAATACTTCCTGAATTTTACTGGGTCTTTGCTGTGCATTTTTTGATAGAGAATGGTTAAGGCAGTTCTCTGTCTTTTTTCTGAACAACAAGTTTCTTGTCTCCCATCTTCTCCCTCTTTTACAATCTTTCTTATTTGCCTACTCAAATGGTAATACAGAATAAACAGTGAAAGTGCAATGAATCATTCTATGAGAGGTTTATTGGATTCATTTTCTGTCTTTTCTATGACCACGTTTTTTATGGCAAATTTTGGTAGTGACAACAGGGCTTTAAGTACAAATTACTTATAAATACGTATTGTGCATCTATTTTTCGTTGATAACTGTATTGCGGGTTTTGGATGGCTGCCCCACCGACGGTCACTAGGTCAGGTGGTTATTAGTCAAGAGGATATCATTCCCCAATTAACCCATAATCCGGTACTGCAATATTTTAATGGTATTTTATGAACAGGAGTTACAATTGAAATGGTACATTGTACAAACGATCAAAAATATTTCATTTAAGGGTTTTCAGAATTTATGAATTAAATTTTTATGACATGATATCATTTACTATAATCGATTGATATTCAAAAGAGTAAACAAACTTTCGAAAACAAGTCTTTTCAAAAATTTTATGTGCGTAATTGTGGTCAATGAACAATTTAATTTTTTTGCCTGTGGCTATTAATTTACTTGTAGTTGTTTTTTTAAAGAATATCGAGACTATAAATGTGTCCTGACACTTGCCAAATGATCATATACATATGTTAACCTAGATGTTTTGTGGGCGTATAAGCTAGTTAAATGAGATGTCGACAATTTCCTGGCCTCGGGGGAAGCACATAAACAATGCACGAATGCATATCATAATATTTATAGCATATACAGTTAACTTTACGACACTATGAATTAAAGATTGTGGTAAATGTCTATAAGACAGCAAACCCATAACAGATGTTAACTTAAATAGACAACTTGAGACATGTTACCTTTACCCTACTCCTCCAACCCATTTGGTCTCCAATTCCCCCAAAACAAAACAAATTATGTTGGTATGTTAATTCGAACTCGTGAATGTTGGCATTTTGATTCGAACTTATATTGGCACTTTGAGTCAAACTCACAATGTCAGTGACCACTAATAAAGGATTATAGTCGCTGTGATAAACCGGACTGTAAATTTTACAATTAGAAGCAATATGTTTCATTTCTTGAGGAATAGTTCTAGTTATGGTTCGATGTAGCACAGAGACACGGCAATTTTTATTACTTTTCAAAGAATTTTCCACTTTTAAGCAGAGTTTCTTCATCTTCATCTTCCCGGTTACGAGTCGGACTCTGCAATTGAATATTATTGACTCGGGCGCATCTCAAACAGACAGGAGGTCACTCCTCTGGCCAAAAGTAAAAGTCCAGGAAAACTAGATGGTAGTGAATGCGTATTTACAACTCTGTACCCTGGTTATCCTGCTGTCTAGTTGAGATGTGGTTGGGTCCAGGATATGGTGTTCACTCTTGCCCTGCAGTCCTTCAATGATCCGGACTCCACTACAGATTCTGGTAATTTGTTCCAATCTCTTGTTGTTCTCGGGAAGAAGGGATAATAGCAGACGTATCTCTCCTTCTAGCTTGTCCACTTTGTAGTTACATCTGATTCTACTGTCAACTGTTGTATAATACTTGCCATTAACCAATGGCAATCAACTGGTGGTGGGTTGTATTACACAACACAAGGTTCTGTTTCCAACGTCTGTGCAGAAGCGATTCCCACTGAAATTGGTCCAATGATTCCAGGAGAGTTGCTCGTCTCTGCACTTGCTCGATATCTCGAACAATGGTGATTTGGTGCTAATCCCATATTGGAGAAGCATATTCTAGCGTAGGTCTTTCTTGGGTGGGGTATACTGTGGCTTTTGTTGCTGGAGTACACCTACCCAAATTTTTCCGTAAGAAGCCGAGTGTCTTGGAGGCTTTAACGGTGGTTAGGTTGATGTGTTTTGTCCAGGTGAGATCTTTGCTGATGGTGAGCCCAAGGTATTTCCCACTGTCTTTTGTTTCTAGTGTGTGTCCATGTAGTGAGTGTACCAGTAACTAAAAAAAACTTCGACAGTACTAGTGATTAAAAGTGTTTTAACATTGCAGTTTGTTTCCTTTTTTGTTAGGTCCGCATTCTTATATCTGGTTTTGGTATGGATTTTTTCTAATTCCTGATGAGAGTGTTATTTTATGGTCGGCCTTCCAATTTCACTAGTTTCCAAGGTTTATTTCAATTTATCTAATGAATCAAAATAGGTTCCTATATAGAAATAAGAAGATTTGGTATATTTGCCATTATAACTATATATCCAACAGAACACTAAGGACATAATTGCCAGCAGATAGTTTTCTCTCAATTATGTTGTTTCATGGAATAATGCTGGTGTACTTTTTATGTTTTGAAAGTTTGCATTGTAAAGAGATTTGAGAACTGCTATCTTGAGTGTTTTGAAAGTAATCCCTTTTGATCAAGTTGCACTCCCACGCAAATTAATTAGATCAGACATTACAAATATTAAAAACAGGAGCTCCAACGATATAGTTGTTGTCGGTTGGAAAAAAGATAATAAAACCATCTGTATTTCAAGAAGATGGTCTCATTAGATGATTATTTTAGCTAGCAAAAAATTTTGTTTGTCGTTGTCGACAGAGTACTTTCAAGATTCTTTTTATCGTAGTTTTTATCACTCCTTCGATGTTTGAATTGTTTGATTTTTCTTCTTGCAGATACCACTGGTCCTCATCATTTGATCTTGGATAAAGTTTAATATCTGTTTCCAACTTCTTGTGATTTTTATAGTTAACGATCATTCCTATAATGCATCGGACCGTATGAAGAATTAACGACATAGTACAAGGTATAATATATATAAAGATAAAGATATTTTTTTTATTTCCAATAGAGGACCCATTATGGGCATACTCAGTACAGTGATTTTTTTATATTAAGCAATATATGGACAATACACAAGAAAAACAACTCAAACATGAAATATGAATTGAGTTAATAATATATATAGCCATATAAACCATAATGTTTAGTGTTTATTGACCATGCACCATAAGCAGCATCATATCCATCACAAAAATAACTTTTATGCGTTAAGTCCTTTCTCGTAGAATGCATATGAACAAATAGATTGTTGTCCATATGGAGGAGTCACCAAGGGCAGGTGCTTAAAGGACACTCAAGCAAATACAGACAAATATGAATATTTAAACACTTTACAACACATATATATGTCTATTTCTTATAACGTTTAAAATGTATGGTTCTGACTAATTGGATAAAGATTTGATTAACCACTCGCACATGTAATTTTCGTATTTAGTATTCCGCCAAATCTATTCGGAACATTATTCTTCGAGTTTTTCCCTAATCATTTGAAAAACACAAGACTCTATCTACCATGATCTACCATGTCATCCCCATTATAGTTGTATAGTACTAAGAACGTCCTGTGAATATCACAGTCCTAACCAGGGAACAATAAATCGAGAGACGATAGAGATGACGAATTATGGTTATCTCTAAAAAGTTCAAGGTATTAGGAACCCTCTTACTGATTTTAACCGTAACGATTTTTTTTAAAAATCAGAGGAATCTGTGTGATTTTCATTGCATTTTGACCTTGGAATATTCTACAGTTCTACATTTTCTACCAATAATAATAATAATTTAAAAAATTACAATAATAATAATAATAATAATAATAATAATAATAATGAAAATTCATGTATTCTTATATATTAGAAATTGAATTTCGAAATACTTTTTATTGTATAGATTTTGCAATACGCAATAATTAGTGTCCGTTTTCACATATGTGCATACGTCAACAAGTACAATAAATAAAAATGAAATTTAAGAAGTATAAATAATTTGAATTGTCATATTGCGGTTTTAACATGAGGTAAACTATTTTCAAAATTAATAGGTACATGTAGCTATCAGGCAGGTCAAATTATAAAAGGATAATAAATAACACCACAGTTGGCCTTAAGTAGGTCGTAAACTATTTATAGGACCAAGTTAAGAGAGATTGATCACCTAAATACATAATACATAATAATACATAAAAAAAAATCCAAAAGGAATTTCCGAAAGAGAGGCGAAGGACACCAAAGGGACATTCAAACTCATAAGTCGAAAATAAACTGATTACGCCATGGCTAAAATAGAAAAAGACAAACAGACAAACAACAGTACACAAAACAACATAGAAAGCCAAAGACTGAGCAACACGAACCCCACCAAAAACTGGGGGTGATCTAAGGTGCTCATGTAAGTACAAACCCGGTGATATGTCTAATTCGGTAGGTCACATTCTGGGGGAGGGGACGAGATTGTAGTTACGACAATTACCGAAAATAATGGACAGTACAACTGAACATACCAATAACCAACTCCTTCAAAATATAATGTCATATAATATGTAATCATTTTATCATTGATACACATGTTAACTTTCAGGGTGTAATTGTCATGTTCCATTCTACAAGTGCACCAATAACGACAAACTTCTGTCGAGTGGACCTGATCCTTTTAGAATGCCTGGTAGTTAACCTGCAACATAGAATTTAAAAATGGTCCTATATACATGTTTCATAGTATTTTGGTTTTTTTATGTTGTGTTTTGTTAACTGTTGTTTGTCCTTTGAAACTATTCATGGCGTTGTCAGTTTGTCTTGTACTTCAGTTTGAATATCCCTTAGGTATCATCCGCCTCTCTCTTATACAGATAACAATTATTATAGACAGGCTGTCATGAATATATTATCACCAGTACGTATACTGTCTTCTTGGTACCGATCTATTCTGAGTATAAACAATATTATTTCGTCGCAGACTTTTTCTCGACCAAGCAAAGTGTATACAAAACCAAGTATAGTAAACCTCATGACAAAAAAATATAAACTATACTTTCAAATATATTGATGATGTTCAAATATATTGATGACGTCTGTAATCTACTATTCCTTTCATCTCGTATATCCGATAAATTTGAAATCAAGGATACTACCAAAGCGAATGGATCTGCTACATATCTAGACCTTTTGTATGCAATTAACACGGACTATGATCTAAGATTTTGAACTAGACGTTTATTTACAAAGATAAGAATCAGGACCATAATATACTTATAGAAAACCGGTTATAGAAAAGGACAGATATATCTGAATATACTTTGAAACAAAAGAACATGTCTAATTTTTAAAACAATAGAAGAGGAAAACCACTTTCTTCTCTACTGGAGATAATAAAATATTACGTATAAAACGTTTTAATGACATCGTAATAGATAATCCTATATTTCCAAATCTTTCTGATAAGGCAATAAAGAATTTCAAAATTACTATGAATTTAGTTTTCCAGTTGTAACCTTTCCTTTCCCGAGTTTTTTAGCAATCGAACGTTAACGCATCTAAGTTGATACGAAAGCGTGTTCTCATAATTGACAAATATACGCATAAAGTATAAAGTAAAATTCTCAACAACATGACTTTGAGGAAGAAGACTCAAGTCCCTCCTCCATAAGTTCTACGATAGCCATCCCGCTCAGTTACAGTACTAGTGTTTCATCTTATAGTATAAAAGTAATGTTTAATTTATCACAGTAGGAACTTTACAAAAGCAGTATTAGTGTAATGTGGACGATAGTTTACAGTGCATCGGAAATCTTTTCAGTGTGTCACAAATGATCAAAAACATATCAACGCCCTTTTGTCGATTCTGACATTTTTTTACTAATCATTTCCTGCCACCAAAGGCAACCACTAAAATGCTAATTTAGCTGTGTTTATACCTTCGGGACAACTTAAATTAGTCTAGGTTTTGGCTGGAGCTAATTTTGACTGAAACTTTATTTATTTTCAAATTATAATAGTATAATGAATAACCCTACAGCTAGCCGTAAGTAGGTCGTAAACTATTTATAGAACCCAATCAGTGATAAGACTTTTTTTATAATACATTAAAAAAAATCCAACAGAAATATTTGACTGTACAACATAACACACCACACCGACTCCTTTGATATATTATATAGTAAGACCCCGTTCATGCTTGAACATTTAAATCTATTTAAACTAGATCGGTTCACTTTAGATCGATTTAAGCCCAATGTGAACGCTTTGAATCGATCTGGAATCAATCTAAACTAAAACACCAAAAGAGGTAGTTTAGTTTGAATCGATCTAAAATTAACCGATCTAACTTTAAATGTGAACGCAGAGAGTTTTCCTATTGTTACCTTTACATTCTTGAGTAATTTGATCATACCAGAATTCACGTATTTAAGATGATACGAAAGCGTGTTCTCTTAATTGTCATTTCACAAATACACGAGCATAGTATCAGGTTTAAAAAATTGACATCAGTCATACTGCCTAGTAGTGGAATTCAGCATTTCGTTAAACCAGTCTTTAGTTATATAAGATGCAACTTTTGTTCAATACAGATAATTAACAGTTCCCTAGCACACCGAAAGATATATGTATTTGTAAATATTGATAAGATATACAGTTTTGAAGGTCATTTCATGAAGCAGAATCTGTTGTTTCCCTGGCGGTATTGATTTTATGTTATTTTGGGAAGATGAGATGAAAATTATCAAATTCATAATCAAGTCCAAGAAAGTGCATAGTCAATATAGCGGGAGATAATGTTAAAATATTTGGCTAACATCTTTCTTCTCTTTACCCCTTTTCCTTAGGGGCGGGGTTATCTATTTGTTGACGGTTGTTTGCTTTCTTCGAGTAAAGAAAAAATATCTGCAATATGTGGTCACCGCAATGCCTATCGTTTGATGAACAAAAAATCTGTTCAGCAAATTCAGTATAATAGATGTCGAATAAAGACTTCAATATTGAATAAAATAAACAATATCTAATGACATGTTTTTTGTTTTGATTTGTAAGTCTAATTTGTTGTACTCCATGCTACCATTTGTTCTGTTTTGTGGTCGTGTTTTTCAACTGACAGGCGGCATTCCTACGGTATAACCAACTGTTCTCCTCATTTCGCCAAAATTGTCTTTATTTGTATGTTGTAGGCTTGATAAAAGTGTTTCTTAAGAATGGAACGAGCTATATAGCCTTCTCTGAAACTTTATATTAAGCTAAATAGATAGTGACTATGTAGATCACATATATGCAATTGGACTTGAAAAAAGATACTACTACAGTGTTTTCTCAGTGCTGTTTTCTTTTGTATGATGTTGCTATTGGTATAGTCTTGTCTATCCTATGTCCAGAAAAACTGTCATTGTGGTTTCGATTTCATTTCTGCTGCTCGGTCTTTCGCTTTCTATGTTGTGTTTTGTGGGCGGTTGTTTTACTTTTAGTCGTTTTTCGTTTTATGGCATGATATTGTCAGTTCGTTTTCGAATTATGAGTTAGACTATCCCTTTGGTATCTTCCACCTCTCTTTCATATTCGGTGATGTAGTACGCTGAAAGAATTTTAAAACTTTTACCGGTGGTATATGAATTTGGTAATGTCTTACAGTTACGTGTAGACAAGAGACATTCAATAATCAGCTAGTGTGTGATGCATCTTCACCGAATATATTTAATCGGCGGATTTAAACGGAAGAACCACAAGAAGGTTGCGTTCAATATCGTAGCGGCTACGTAGTGCTACGTAGATTTATGACTTTTGAACGAGTAGCTAGCCTAGCTGCTATCAATATCTATGTAGCAGCTAGGCTAGCTACACGTTCAATAGTCATAATCTACGTAGCCCTATGTAGCCGCTACGATATTGAACGCAACCCAGGTGTCAGTAGTAGAGCAGGAACTGCTGACGTTCCTGAACACCTGAGCTCGCACCCGGTTATTGTAAGGTTTCTGTTTGT